GGACAAATATCGTATGATCCCACTTCTGTGAAATACCTAGAATAGACGGTTGCATATAGATAAATTTATTAGAGGTTACCAAGGGTTGGGGGGCCAGGGGAAATGGGGCATTCTTGCTTAAAGGGTACTGAGTTTCTGTTTGGGAGTGATGAAAAACGTTTTGAAATGATGGTGATGGTTGCACAACAGATGAGTGTAGTTAATAGCACTGAATTATACACTTAAAAGTGGTTAAAATGGCAAATGTAATGTTATGTATACTTTACCGCAATAAAAGTAAAAACAGACAAAAACGCGGAGGCTTTCACCTAAGCTTGTTTTTTTATGCTCTACTGGTAATGAGTAATATGACCTGTGCACTGTGTGGCATAGTCTTGCTTTATGCTTGCTGTAATTTTGAAATCATTAACAGTGTCCCCTTCAACCTCAGAAATAGGGTCACCTTTGGTATGAGAGACAGGATTGAAGTGGACAATGAATCATGGAAAAATAGGCAGGGGAAAGGAAGACAGGAAGGAGAGACTCTTGCAAGAAGTTAAACCAACTTTATTCTCGTGGTCGATTCTTCTTGATGCTCACTCACATAACTGAGAGCTTCTCTACTGTAAATCAAAATATTTATAACACAGCCATACGTTACAGAATTTCCAATGTGATTTTAAAAACTTGTAGCGTTCTATAGCATAGAACTTAAAGTAAGAGTACGGCATAACTAACCCATTTTATGACCTCCATGGCCAGATACTTAATATCTTTGGGCTTTCATTTTTTCTGTAAAAATAAGGTGTTAAATCAGACGATCCCACAATCCTTTCCAAGTCTAAAATGGTGAATTCTTTCATAAATTTTTTGAGGTATGAATGTAAAATATATATGTCAGCAATCTGAGAAATGGAGAAAGCAAACTTAAAATTTTTGGTTTCTCTTTCCATTTGATCTGACAAGAGCCTGTAATGGCACCCATTTTAATCAGAATCCATTTTTGCTCCCAAGATACCATCTATAGTTGTTTTGGCTTTTGCACTGTTCTTAGTCAGTTTGTATTCGTACTTTTATGGGGAAGTTGTATATTGATTGTAGCTCCTAGTCACTGCAAAACGATTGGCTCATATCTGTTCTAAGTCTCTAGACAAGGGAAAGCAAAATGGTGAGGTGTTGATGGTGACACAGAGGTAGGAAATTTTGGTAAAGTTTATTGTAAAGATTTTCTCTTGAAAAGGAGAAAAATGAACTTTAAAGCTAAAAATATTTTTTAACTATGTAAGTGAATTAAAATCTGTGTTGGTTTTCTGTTTAGGAGATGCAGGTTCTTCCCCCAGAGCCTCAGATTTAGTCAAATTAGCCTATGAGTGTTGTTACCACAACAGCAGGGGCATCGCAGCTCATGGAGTGAGAGTGTTAACGAACATCGCTGTGTCGTGTCAGGAGAAAGGTGAGTGGGGTTAAAGCTGACACCGTGAACAAACTTCTCGCTGGAGCTTGAGTGGAATTCTTTGTGTATGTGTTTTTTTAATCTCTTATTTTTAGTCTGCTTGCTTTGATCTGTTAGTTGCCTCCTTCCAAAGTGCTCTGAGAACATGTTTTCTCAAACTACTTAGAAGATTAAAAAAAAGAAGAAGAATGAGGATTTGGGGATTGGGATTGTGGAATTGAAAGGTTTTGTGGAGCATTGCCCGTTTCTTTGCACTGCTTACCTTATGATGCTGTTGATAGAGATAGCTACGACTCTACCCCTCTGATAGTCTGTTTACGTCTATAAAAATCTAAAAATTTAGGAAAAAATAAGTTATAAAGGTGCTCAAATAAAGTTTCACCAAGAGGCAAGTGAATTAACAGCGCAATGTGAGTTAAATGTGTACAGAATTTATTTCTAGTATCTGTAAGCTTTAAAGTGATTTGCATAATTAGGAAGGATGTAGGAAGAAAATAATGCACATATTTTATCCCGGCGCCTTTGGCCATAGACTTGAAAAGTTCACGTATGTTCAAAAACGGGAAATGCACTTTGGACAGCCCGTCTGTTTCAGTGCTGGTTTTGGTCTTTATGAAGGATCGTCCGCTCAGCTCAGCGCGCTGTTACTCCACCAGCCTTTAGCCCTGCTAGTTCCTAGTGCCAGTTTTTCTCCTAGCACCCGGACTTTCACTCACCTTTACAATGTTTCCAAGCGCTACCCTTACTCAGGAGACGTGTCTTTAACTTGTATGTTGATTCTGATTTAAGTGATGAAACTTACGTTTGGCCTAGTAATGAGTATTTTCTACTGTGGAACAAAAAACTACTGTATATATTCAAAGCTGACATATGTTGTCTTAAATGCAGTTAACTAATACAGTTAGAACTTTCTGGAGCCTTTAGAGAGCTTTAGCCCTAAGGTAGTGAGAAGATGTAATACTGCGGTACATGGGACCTCTAAAGCGTTCATTCTTTATGGTCAGACTTAAGCACTAACGAAGTTATGTGGGGTGTTCATTACTTCCTGGAAGTAGTTCAGTTTTTATTAGAAGCTGAAAATCTTTACATCATAGGTAAAGATGAAGCTGCATAATTTATGTCTGCTTAGGATGATTAACATGTACTGAATCATTTGCTTTTCCTAGTATTTTCCTTGGCTAAGTTGGTGACACTGTTTCAATTATTCCTCACTTATAGCTTTAGTTCTTGATTTAATGTGCATATTTTTATAATCTTCAATAAAGTAGTGAAACTACACAAGTCTGAAGAAAGCCTTTACGTTGCAGAAGTAAAAGTACAGGCCGCGTCTGTCTTTTTAAGAAGATCAACCTTATGCATATTCAGGTGTCTCCTGTATCTTAGGCTTCTTAATTGTTTTCTTTGGAGTGTATGTGTGTTTAACTCTCTGCTCAACCACTGTAAACCTTCATGTTTTCCCTCTAGACCTTTTGGCGCTGGAACAGGGTGCTGTCTTTGGCCTGGAATCCCTTCTGGTCCTTTGTAGTCAAGATGACAGTCCAGGTGCTCAAGCCACTTTAAAGGTGAAGACATCACTTGTTTTAATAGAATGCCTGTTTTCATTACCTGAACGCTCCCACCACACTGTTTTTACAATACCGTATGAGCTGACCTTGAAAAAGGGTAGAATTTCATTATTTGGGAAAGATCATTTGAGCCCGAGAGACCACTATTACAAAAGGCATGAAAGCAGAAATGTACCTGTTATGTTGGAAGAATGGTGAGTGGCTAACTGGCTGAATAAAATAATAACAATGATATTGGAAAAGTAGTCTGCTGCTCAGCCATGGAGGGTATCAAAGATCATGCTAAGGAACTTGGACTTGATTCTATAGGTGGTGAGGAAATACTAAAAATTTTAAGTAATAGACATGCTCTTGACTTTTGTTGTAATAATTATTGTTATTTATTTGAGTGTCTGTTATGTGCCAGACATTCTTGAAGGTTTGTATATGCATTTCTTTCAATTTTTACAACAACCGTATAATGAAATATATATATAAGTGCTCGGTTCCTAACCGAAAGGTCGGCGGTTTGAACCCACCAGCCACTCTGTGGGAAAATGATGTGGCAGTCTGCCTACATAAAGATTTACAGCCTTGGAAACCCTATACAGCTGTTCTACTTTGTCCTATAGGGTCACTATGAGTTGGAATCGACTCGACGGCAGTGGGTTTTGTTTTTAAGGCTCAGGGAGATAAAATAACTGGCTCAGTGCCATCCAGCTAATAGGAGACAAACTGAGCTTCACCTGTGGGTCGAGTGGACTCTAAAGTTGATTGTTTTCCTAACACCACACTAAAAACACCGTGGTTGTGACATGAAGGGTGGATCGGTGGGCGCATCTTTTCAAGAGGTTGGAATTAGGGAGAGGTTGTACTGTGGTAGAGAAAATGGAAAGGCACTCCAGAAGTGGATACTAGAGAGTTGGCAGAAGTGGAGATGATTTAGCAACCAGTTCGCTCTGTAAGGGAGAGGCCTTCTGAGTTTCCAGCGTGGTGACTGGGATAAGAAACTGAAAATTTCTGCTGAGAAGTGAGAGAAAATTGGAAACCTCTCCGTCACTTCAGTGTGCTGAAGAGTCTCTTAGGGTATCTTTTTTAAATACAGGCTCTCAGTTATCCCAACACCGCTTTCCCCCAAAAAGTTAATTCCTTAAGTTTGAGTTAGGCAGAGCTCAGGAAACTGTATTTTTATTAGTATCCTGGGTGATGCTGGTCTAGGTAGTTTAAAAACCACTTTAGAAAGTAATGAACATGGTGATATCTCATTTGGGCTCTATTTGCCTCGTCAGCATTATTCCTTATGATTGTATCCTGAAGTCTTTTTCTTTTTTTTTTTTAAGTCTTAATATTGAAATGAATAGTTGATATGCAGTCCTAACTCGGTGTTATTTTAGTTTTAAACCTGGTGCACTTGGCAAATCTTACTATGGGAGTCAATACCTCAAGTGTTCCTTATGAGGAAAAATGTTAATGCTTACAAAAAGCCTTACTCTTGATTTTTGCCTCAATAACTGTACAAAGTTCTTTTTTGAAAAACTTCACTTAATGCCTTCAGAGTACAGAGAATTGACTAGTCCATTTTCTTTTTGATGTGCAGATTGCTCTTAATTGTATGGTGAAGCTGGCCAAGGGCAGGCCCCACCTCAGCCAGTCGGTGGTCGAGGCCTTGTTGACGCAGTTGCACAGTGCCCAGGACGCCGCCCGCATCCTCCTGTGCCACTGCCTGGCAGCCATCGCTATGCAGCTGCCCGTGCTGGGAGATGGGATGCTCGGGGACCTCGTGGAGCTCTACAAGGTGATCGGACGGTCCGCCACAGACAAGCAGCAAGAACTTCTGGTAAAGAGTCACTTTTTGAACGTGCTGCGGATGGATAGAATCTGGTCTAGTTGGAATTACTTTAAAAAGTCACTACCACTTAGGTTAAAATAATTATCTAAGACCAACAGCCACAATTTTTGATTATGAAACGTAATATTCAAAATAGTGCTAAAGTCAGAATAGAATTTTGGAAAAAACAATGAGCGTTTTACTGTTTTCATCTGTGATTAGGAAGCCCAGTTTCGTTCAGATCTGACACTGTTTTCTTCCTAAGACCTGTCAAGGCAGCTAGGGTAGCTGAAGCTTGTGATCTCATGTTTTGTTCATTACAGAGACGAAATGAAGATGCTTCGCTTCATACAAGGCAAACAATGAACTAAGCCCTATTTTGTTGAAGACCTAATGATAACAACGAACAGATATTGGACCAGGACCTCTTGATCTTTTTAGGATCCAACTTAGACTTCTCTGTGTGTCTGGAGTTGGGAAAGGTGGTTGCTTAAAAAGAAACAGAAGCCGTGGAAGCTATAATAATGTTTAGTTGATAAAGCTCTCTAAGGCTGAGAATAGGCCACATTCTAAATCAGCATCAATTATACGTAAGCCCTAAGTTGGCCACTCCATATTGTTTAAGTTTATCTGAATTCAGGGCTTGGAGAAAGTACAATGGAATGACTTGTTCAAGCCTGTTTTATATTTAGTCCTCCAGAGGCATTGTGTGAAAGATTGCCCCTGTCCTGGCCTTTGCTATCAGAAAAGGTTACCCTGATGATGAGATGGAGTGGTCATGGGCGTGACATCATACAATTACCACAGATGTGTATGGTCCTTTGTGTGGGTCAGCCTTGAAATGCTAAGAGGCATTTAGCCAAATTTATTTTTTATTAAAGTGGTATTTTGAACTAATGTTCTTCTCCCTTTTTTGTTAGTTCAACTTTAAGACAATTTTTAATTACAAAACATTATATTCACAAAATAAAAGGAATTATACAATGAAAACTCTTGCATCCATCACGCAGCTTAAGGGAAAAAGAAATTACCCCCCAGTGGCATTCCCTCCCTTCTCCCAGAGGCAACCACTGTCCTGAATTTGGCATTTATCATTCCCATGCACATTGCTATACTTTTATTACAGAAGTATATATCCCTAAGTAATATGCAGGAGTATTTAGCATATTTTTAACTTTATATAGATAGTATATACTACACGTAATCTGGAAGCCCTGGTGGTGCGATGGTTAAGTGATCAGCTGCTGTCTGAAAGGTTGGCAGTTTGAACCCACCAGCTGCTGCACTGGAGAAAAGACCTGACGATCTACTCCCGTAAAGATTACAGCCTAAGAAGCCCTGTGGGACACTTCTGCTCTGCCATGTGGTGTCACTGTGATCAAGAACCCGTGGTATTGAGTGAAGAAGTCCGAGCTGCACGGGAGGCACGGCGAAAAACAAGGCTCCAGAAATTGACAGAATACCAGTTGAGATGTTCCACCAAATGGATGCAATGCTGGAGGTGCTCGCTCATCTACGCCAAGAAATTTGGAAGATAACTACCTGGCCAGTCAACTGGAGGAGTTCCATATTTGTGCCCAATCCAAAGAAAGGTGACCCAGCAGAATGTGGAAATTACTGAACAGTATCAGTAATATCACACGCAAGTAAAACTATGCTGAAGATCCTTCAAAATGGGTTGCAGCAGTACATCGACAGGGAACTGCCGGAAATTCAAGCGGAATTCAAAAGAAGACATGGAATGAAGGATATCATTGCTGATATCAGATGGATTTTGGCTGAAAGCAGAGAATACCAGAAAGATATTTACCTGTGTTTTATTGACTATGCAAAGACATCTGACTGTATGGATCATAATAAATTATGGGTAACATTGCGAAGAATGGGAATTCCAGAACACTTTATTGTGCTCCTGAGGAACCTGTACATAGACCAAGAGAAAGTTGTTCAAACAGAGCAAGGGGATACCGTGTGGTTTAAAGTCAGGGAAGGGGCATATCAGGTGTGCATCCTTTCACCATTCTTAATCTGAGAAGCTGGACTATTGAAGAAGAACGGGGCATCAGGATTGCAGGAAGACTCATTAACAACCAGTGACATGCAGATGACACAGCCTTCCTTGCTGAAAGTGAAGAGGACTTGAAGCACTTACTGAAGAACATCAAAGACCACAGCCTTCAGTATGGATTACACCTCAACACAAAGAAAACAAAAATCCGCACAGCGTGACCAACAAGTAACGTGATAAATAGAGAAAATACTGAAGGTGTCGAGGATTTCATTTTACTTGGATTCACAATCATTGCCCATGGATGCAGCAGTCAAGAAATCAAACGCCATATTGCACTGGGCAAATCTGCTGCAAAAGACCTCTTTAAAATGTTAAAAAGCAAAGATGTCGCTTTGAGGACTAAGGTGCTCCTGACCCAAGCCATTGTAATTTCAGACGCCTCATAAATGCATGCAAAAGCTGGACAATGAATAAGAAAGACTGAAAAGAATTGATACCTTTTAATTGTGGTGTTGGCAAAGATTATTAAATATAGCATGGATTGCCAGAAAAATGAACAAATCTGTCTTGGAAGAAGTACAGCAGAATGCGCCTTAAAAGTGATGATGGCAAGACTTTGTCTCACGTGCTTTGGACGTGTTATCAGGAGGGACCAGTCCCTGGAGAAGGGCATCATGCTGGGTAAAGTACAGCGTCAGTGAAAAAGAGGAAGACCCTCAATGAGACAGATTGACACAGTGGCTGCAACAGTGAGCTGAAGTATAACGACGACTGTGAGCATGGCACGGGACTGGGCAGTGTTTTGTGTGTTCTACGTAGGTTCGCTGTGAGCCAGAACCAACTTGAAGGCACCTAACAACACACAGCGTGAGTCAGATCAGAATCAACTTGAGGGCGTACGGGAACAACAGCAACGTGTAATCTTTTGCATTTTGCCCTTTTTGTGTGAATCATCTTTGTTAATATGTGTATCTGATTCATTTCATTGTGGGATTATGTCCTTCATTTCTCCGTATTGATGGGCATTGTTTATAATTATTTGCTATTATAGACAATGCTCTGAGTCTGAAATAAATTGCTTAGTGAATTCAAAATGAATAATTTATAAATGTCAGTAGAAAACAAATTTTATTCGTTTTGATGGTCTTGAACTATTTTTTCTGCCTTTTGGGTAGGTTATCTAGGACATTGGATAGAATCATGATTTTCTTACTTCTTGTTTGATAATAGGTGAGTTTGGCCACTGTGATTTTTGTAGCCAGTCAGAAAGCATTATCTGCTGAAGTTAAGGCAGTAATTAAACAGCAGCTTGAGAGTGTCTCTAATGGATGGACCGTATACCGGATCGCCAGACAGGCATCCAGAATGGTATGTATTATCCCTGTAGGTGGACTGGGTTGGTGGAAATGGCAGGTTATAGACCTTAGATTGTGTGATTTCTTTCAGTCACAGTCAAAACTAGAAGTAAAGGTGGGAATATCTTTTAAAGGTTGGAAAGATGATGAAGGATTTCTAACGCATATGTTGATGGCACATCTGTGGCTGGTCTGTATCGTCATGGGGAAGTTCTACAGCAGTCTGACAGTCTGAAGGCTTTCTGGCTCTAGGTTGTGTGTGTCTCTTTCGTTCTGCCTTGTGTCCTCCTAAGGAAGGCCGCCTCCCACCCCACCTCACCGCACCTCTTACCTTGCTGTCCCCAGACTTAGCATTCTTAAGTGGAAACAAGAAGATTTAGCGTGCTTTACCCTTCTCAGCCATATGGACAGCCTAACAGTTTTTTGTTAATTTTGTTTGAGAGGAACCGGAGAGTTTGCGGAGCACAGAAATCCTTTGGAGAAAAGTACCGAGAGGAGAGTTTGGGAAGTGTCGCTCTAGGTGACTGAAGTACCTGCCTTCAGTTTACAGTGTTTCTAAAATGAGAGAGGAGAGCTGTTGGCAGGACAGTTCATTATTCGAAACTGCCACACACCTCCAAGCATTGCAGGACAATTAGCATCCCTGGTCCTCAGGCATGAAAGGGCAGCCCCCCACCAATATACAGCTGTCCTTGCCCCAGTCACTGTGGTAATCAAACACCTATTTTACATGTTTCCAGACACCCTGAGGCAGAGGTCAGCACTGCTCCTCTTGATAATTACGTATTGGAGGCCCCCCTCAACTCAGTAGCTGATCCAGAACGACATATGGGCGGTCCCCGGATTACACACGAGTTCCGTCCCTAAGTCTGTCTTTTCAGTCGAATTTGTACATAAGTCGGAACAGTTAGGTACGTTTTGCACCTAACGTCAGTTAGACAAATGTTTGTCTTAGTGTATAGTATATAGTGTACTTTTTTATGCCTGAAACACATTAAAGGAACACTTCCAGATACACTAAAACATGTTTTACATAATAGTACAGTAATAATAATACTGTTTTGATGCACAGCGCAAAGTAGCGCCCGTTATTAGGAACCACTGTATGTGCCTCAAATTTTTAACGTCATAGGTTTTACAGGGTTTGGTTCGTAAGTACGGGTTGTATGTAAGTTGGACATTCGTAACCCGGAGACTGCCTGTACAATGAATGCTGTGTTTTTACGCAAATATATGTGCCACCTATGTTTGTTTGTCAGTCATGCCCACCCCTCGTGAAGTATTTTTGTAAGCACACTGTGCTAATGTTTTTTTTTTTTGACAACAACATATTTTAAAAAAAAAAAAAAATCGACGTAGCAGCGCTTACAAAAAATACCTTGCAGGAGGAGGGCATGGTTGGCGATCAGATGTAGAAGGTGGTGCGCGTTATTTGTGTGGAAATATGGTATTTATACTTTATGCATTCGAGAGTTGGGTTATGGTTAATTTCATTATTTTCTCTTTGGTTGGAACTGCTTAATAAAGAACTTCCGTCACTAGGTTATGTGAAAGCAGTTCACCATGTATTTTCTCTGAGGAAGCACTTAGACTGAGTCTCAAAGAATTACGTAATGTGAGGAATGATTGCTAAACCTTACCTAAGGTTTGGGTTTGTCTTCAGCTGCTGCATCAGCTGCTTTGGGGCTCACCGCGTGCCTTTTCCTTTTTCAGGGTAACCATGACATGGCCAGAGAGCTTTATCAGAGCTTGCTGACTCAGGTTGCCTCGGAACACTTTTACTTCTGGCTGAATAGTTTGAAGGAGTTCTCACATGCAGAGCAGTGTCTCACAGGGCTGCAGGAGGAGGATTACAGTTCAGCACTTTCTTGCATTGCTGAGGCTTTAAAATTCTACCACAAAGGGATTGCTTCCTTAACAGTAAGTCCTCTTAGTTCTCCTTTGGTGGCAATAACTCTTGGGAGAACTGTCCCCTGCTGTTTCGGGGTTAGCCTGTCTTAACTACTTTCTGATGTGTGGGGTTTGGCAATATCCATGGATTGATAATCTTACCGTTTTGTGTTTATAAAGTACTGGGTGCCAGCTATGAAGAGGACTCTCAGTCCATGCAGAAGGATGAAGTGGTGTGTATATTCTTCTATTCCACATTACCAGGCACCAGCTGCTGTTTTTATTTTCTCTAAAATTAGTGAAGGGTGCAGGGAGAGCAGACCCTTAACATTTCTGATGTTCCCTTGAAATTAGCTAGATGTCTAAGAACCTCTTCCCTAAAATAAAATGAGCATTTTCTGTATTAATTCAAGAGCTTTTTCCCTTTAAAGGTAAAGAGCTTATATAATCAACAGTAAGTACTTTTTAGATAATACCACATAACTTTTAAAATTATATATATTTAGATGGGGCTGTAAAACTTCTGGTACCTATTTACATGTATTTATCACATGTCTAGAATATTTTTAATGGTAGGCTCTTCCCAAAGAAATGCTTCAGAGTAGAACAAAGAATAAGCAGATGTCACACAAGATACAAAATGTTCAGAAAATTACGGGGAAAATAGTTTTTGAAGTATGGTTTTTTTAACTAGGATTGACGGCTATTTAAAACAGGAATACAAGCCGCTTTCCATCTTAAAGGGTACCGTGACTCTGTGAATTCTTCCCTCTTGATTATTCTGGAGTCCTGGTGGCACAGTGGTTAAGAGCTCAGCTGCCAACCAAAAGGTTGGCAGTTTGAATCCACCAGCCACTCCTTGGAAACCCTACAGGGCAATTCTACTCTGTCCTATAGAGTCACTATGAGTCAGAATCAACTTGATGGCAACGGGTTGACTATTCTGGGAAGAGATTATTATTGCTGATATCAGGTTAATTAATGCCTCAGAAAACCAACAGGTATAATTATTGGTCCAGATCAATAGAACTGTTTCATTTTCCAGTTTTTGTGGAGCAGAAAATTGTTCATCATTCGGTGCGGAAAATGTAGTAAGAACGGTGAGACAGGCTCACAGAACAGTGAGGCAGATAGAACTGACTCTGAAAAGTCCTGTTGCATATTTAGTAGTTTGTTTTAATGATTTGTGCATATGTGTTTTTAATGAGGCTTGGCAGTAATTAAGGACTGAATTCTGACATAGGAAGAAAGTACTTGATTGACAGGCACGAGGTCCTTGACTGAGCCTCGGTTCTGCCTCTAACGCGGTGTGACCTCAGGCGGGTCATTGGGCTCCAGTGCTCTCTTTTGAACCTTATTCAGCAGACTGAGTACTTGCTCTGTGCCAGACACTGTGCTTGGGGATACAAAATGCAAGAAATGATCCTCCACTTGAGAATAGAGGGAAAGACATTATGATCCTTACAGTCATTTCTGAGTGTAGTATACTGTCAGTATTTTTTTGTTTAAGATTTTAAAAAAAAAAAAATCTGTTCACTTGGCAAATGTGGCTTTGATAGTACTTTTCTGTCTTTTTAACTGAGTGAATATGAGCCTGGGAAGGCCTTTTACTTCCTGATGAATGAATAGTCTGTACCTGAGATTGTACAGCTGTAAGAATCTTGCTTTTTGCCTGGTTCAGTGAAACTAAATAGAAGTTCAAAATTCAATGTTTATGGGGATCCTATAGCAACATTGGAAACCCTGGTGGCATAGTGGTTAAGAGCTACAGCTGCTAACGAAAAGGTTAGCAGTTCGAATCCACCAGGTGCTGCTTGGAAGCTTTCTGGAGCAGTTCTCCTCTGACCTATGGGGTCAGTCTGAGTCGGAATCGACTCCATGGCAGTGGGTTTGTTTGGCTTTTACGGCAACATTCCGTGTTTTATTTCCTAACGGTGATTAACGATAGACTTGTCTTCTTGGGAATGAAAATTAAAAAGTGTTTGTATTAGCTTTTCATGCTGCATGTCATAAATAACCACAAATTCAGTGCCTTCGAGCAATATCTATTCATGATTTCACAGTTTCTGTGAGTTTAAAGTCCGTTCATGGCTTAGCTTGGTCCTCTGCTCACGGTCTCACAAAGTTTCAGTCACGATGTGATCTGGGCCGGTCTCATCGGAGACTTCGGTTTCTCTTCTCAGCTCATGTAGTTGTTGGCAGGATCCATTTCCTTGTAGCTTTGGAATGCACGGAAGCTTGCTTCTTTAAGGCTAGCGGGAGAAACTCTCGCTTCTGATGCCCCCAGGGTCTCCAGACATCTAATTAGGGACTTAAATTACATCCCCGAAATCCTTCACCCGTGTCATTATTACTCCACTGGGATTCTCATGTGGTGAGAATCACAGTAGCCTTCTTAGCGTTCTGCCCACAACAGTGTTTTTATATTTTTTAATTCCGTTGTTATTAAATATGGAGCCCTGGTGGCACGGTGGTTAAGAGCTCAGTTGCTAACCAAAAGGTTGGCAGTTCGAATCCACCAGCCACTCCTTGGAAACCCTATGGGCAGTTCTCCTCTGTCCAGTAGGGTCACTATAAGTTGGAATCGACTTGATGGCAACAGGTTTGGTGTTTTTAGTTTGGATTGTTAAATCTTGGATAACCAAAAATCAAACCAGTTGTCACTGAGTTGATTTCGAATCATAATGGCCCCTCACGTATCAGAGTAGAACTGTGTTCTATATGGTTTTCAATGACTGATTTTTCAGAAGTAGATCACCAGGCTTTTTTTCCAAGGCATCTTTGGGTGGACTCGAACTGCCAACCTTTCAATTAGCAGTCAAGCACTTGACTGTTTGCGCCCTCTGGGGCCCTGAGTAGTTGGATAGGTATTTTATATTTATTTATATACAATATCCAATATTTATGTAAAATACCAATATAAAATAAATACGTATCCAGTATAAAACACCTATCCTATATATATATTTTATAGCCCACATTTTACTTGTGTGTGCGTGTGTGTGTGTGTGTAAAGAAAAGGTTGGTGATTTGAACCCACCCGGAGGCACCTTGGAGGAAAGGCCCGGCAGTCTGCTTCTGAAAGGTCACAGCCACGGGAACCCTACGGAGCACGGTTCTGCTCTGAAACACGTGGGATTGTCATGAGTCAGAATCTACTCAGTGGCAACTTTTTTTTTTTTTAATAAATATATGTAACAAATATATACCTGGTACCCACTTTAGGTAATGAAACATTATCATTACCTTTGAAATTCCTGAGTGCACCTCTGTGTTTTTATAGCTGTTTCTGCCCCACAAAGGTAACAGCTATCCTAAACCTTGTGTTTATCATCCCCTTGCCTTTCTTTGGAAACCCTGGTGGCGCAGCAGTTAAGAGCCACAGATGCTAACCAAAAGGTCGGCAGTTCGAATCCACCAGCCGCTCCTTGGAAACGCTATGGGGCAGTTCTAGTCTGTCCTGTAGGGTTGCTATGAGTCGGAGTCGACTCGACCACAACGGGTTTGGTTTTTTGTTTTTTTTTACCTTTCTTTATAATTGTAACATACTTTTTTTTTTTTGTAACTCTAAGCAAGGTACTCTTTTATATTGCATGTTTTTGAATTTTATTTAAAAAGGAATCATATTTTTTTTATTTGCTTTGATCATTTAAATTATGTTCCTAAGACTCATCCATCCATCAGCTTGTATGAAGCTGTATGCATGATACGAATATATACCAATTTCTTTTTCCATTCTAGTGTTGATGGACATTTGAGTTTATTGCTATTACAGACAGTACTTCTGTGAGTACTCTTGAACATGCCTTAATACACCCGTGCAAAGGTCTCTCTAGGTCAGTGGTTCTCAACCAGGGATGATTTTACCCCTCAGGGGACATTTGGCAGGGTCTGGAGACACTTTGGGTTATCATGTCTTGTCAAGGTTCTAGTGATCTAGTGGGTGGAGGTTAGAGATGCTGCTGAACATCCTACAATGCACAGAACAGCCCCCTTCCACAAAATGTATTCGGTTCAAAATGCCAGCAGTGCTGAGGTTGTGAACTCTGCTCTAAGGCAGTGAGCCTCTGTCAGAGCTCTTTACCCTCCTCCAGTTTAGAAATGTGTGTGGGTGTTTCTCGTTGTCACGGTGATAGGAAGCAGGTGTCTAGTGGTCAGTAACTAGAGATGCTTAATCTCCTGAAATGCCGAGGACGCTCTTGGCCCTGTTGAGAGACAAAATTACATAGGATATGTGCATCTTCAGATTGGCTAGCTAATACCAGGAAGTTTTCCACAGTGGTTTTACAGATTTGCAGACCTCCCAAACATGTATAAGAAAGAATTCCGTTGCTCTGCATTTTACCCTTCACCTGGTGTTGTAATTACGTTTGTTTGTTTGTTTGTTTTGGATTGCCAGTTTGGTAAATATGCTAGCAGTGGCTTTTCTTTGAGGTTGTGATTGGCATTTCCTGGATTACTAATACAATTAAACATTTTCTTTTGTATGTTTGGCCATTGTTTTTTTTTTCTTTCTGTGAAGGGCCCATTAAAGTTTTTTCCTCATTTTCCTACTAAGTTACCTATTTTTTTCTGATTGCTTTGTAAGAGTTGTTTATATGTTCTGGGTACTAATCTTTTGTGGATGATATGAGATATAAATATCATCTTCTAGTTTGTGGCTTTTTCCTCACTTTCTATCTTTTGATGAACAGCCATTCTTAATTTTAATGTAGCAGAAGTTATTGATCTTTTTTCCTTTATGGTTTATGTCTTGTTTACAGAATTTTTCTCCACTTCAAGGTCATAAAGATATTTTCTTCTGTATTGTCTAAGAAATGTTCTACAGTTTGGCCTTTCGCATTTAAATTTTAGCAAAGTAGTAAGCCACTTTTTTTTTTAAGATAATATTTTGTTGGTTTCAGTGAAGGTTTACACAGCAGTTTAGGTTCCCATTGAACAGTTTCTACACAGGTTGTTCAGTCACATTGATTACATTCTTCACAACGCTTGAACAATGATTATTTCCATTCTGGTTGTTTTGTTTCCGT